CGGCCTCTCCAAACATCGTGTCCACCAGGGCCCCAACGGGCAGTTTCCCATTCGTGGGACTGACAGATTGCGCTGCCCCTCCGTGTCAGTCTGTCCGCAGTCCCATACCACCTATCGGCTCCCTCTATTGATTTTAAAAAGGAGGTTCCTACCTCTCCGTGCCCGTTTAGAAATGGAGTCAACCAGTAATAACTACTCCATGTTCTCCTTCTCACCCATGGTCTAGTCTCTTGATTAGCTTTCGTGTCCAGGAGGAGCGGTTTCCCATTCCTCCTGCCATATTTCATGGTCTCCTCTCTTTTTCCTCCCCGTGCCTTCTCTTCCACCAAGAGCCTCAGAGGAGGGGAGCTCTCCACTACAAAAAGATCCCTTCGTGGGACCGGGCGGAATGCGACGCTATTCCAAGTCATTTTACGTGGTACTTTATCTAATTGGTCCCGCACCTTTCGGGTCCTGAGCGCTCGCGCTCCCCACAACCTCACTTCAGAATATAGGATAACATTATTCACGGCTGCGGACAGCACCCTCCTTCTGCTCTTCCCGAGGGCCCCAGTTCCAGAACAGCCTTATGCAGTTAGGTGTGGCCGTGCGATTGGCCTTTTCAATCACCTTTTAACTACCGTGTTTGATATAGTTGAGACTGGTATGCTATTCTAACTCCTAGCACGTCGATGTATCTACCGCGGCGTTATTTGTGTCGCCTGCTACCTCGGGACGTGGATAGGAGAAGTCTTCTTCTGCCGGCATAGGATGCGCTTGTTGTTTTGGCCCCCACCAGCTGGAGGCCGTGTTCTTCTGTCCACGTTTCTTGAATGTCTTCTACCGTCCTATTGGCTAGTCCTTACTGCGTCTCGAGGCTTCCTATCCGTCCGCCTATTACCGTCAGGTCGTCCAGCATACGCAACCAATTCTACTCCCTCTAGGGACCTTCAGCTTTAAACGGCGTCTACGCCGCGTTCCATAATAATGGTCCCAGGACCGGAGCCCTGCGGAACTCCACCGTTAGATCTCAAAGTGTGCCTCCGCCCGACCGGTATAATTTGGCCCCCGCCTTCCCTCTCTACACAGGAGCTACTGTAACTAGTCGTACAAATTTCGATGGTACCCCCTTCCTCTCCAGAGCTGCTCCCTATTACCTTAGTGGGTACGCGTTGAAAGCTTGCGGAATACCAGAGATGGTCACAACCGCCACCTCCCTGGTTCTCCATGTGCCCCTTAAGGGCTTTTCTGCGATGACGTGGATCTTTTTCTTTGCGTTCTTGGTGCCGGTTCCTTTTCGGAAGCCGAACTGTCTATCCGATATATTCAAAAATCGCCTCGTATGCCAGGATCCTTCGAAAAGTTTACCCAGTGACTTATAAGCGATATCGGCCTGACGAGTCCTGGGTCCTTTTTGATCAGGCACCACCGTCGCTTCCTTCCACCTGCTGGGTAGGTCCCTTTCTAGAGCTCCATTAAAAGTCAGGTTTCAACACCTCCGAGCCTCTCGCGCAAAACCATAGCCACAAATTCGCGGTGGAAAGCCGTCCGACCAGGAGCTTTCTTCTTCGGCATTCTTCTAAGCCGCTTTCTATTATCTCATTTATCGCTAATTGCTCGACTCCGGATCGACCGCCATTCTTTAGGACCCCCGTCCTCGTCCTTGCCTCGATATAGTTGCCGTATTTTTTCAATAATTCCTCGCGTACCGATACTCTCTAACCAACCTAACCTAATAACCTTTTTTTTTTATAAAGGAGTGGAAATCCATAATGGACACCAGGCGCCTTAAGGTCTTTCAGCGCAAGGTAGTGTGGGACTCGCACCCACTAAAACCACTCCTGGCCTTGTGCTTTATCTGACGGGCACTGTCTCGCACTTTCATCCGTCAGACGTGGCCAGTTTAGAATTATTTCCTCTCTCGATCGTCCTCCTCTTTCTGCGAGATGATCATCTCTACGTATTGTTTAAACATCTTCCATATATTGTGGTTTGTAATTGCCTTCGTTACAATGCTCTCTGGTGTAACCTCCACCATCGCTGTCCAAAGCTTATCCCTCTGCTTCGTCCACTTCTCGCATTTGAAGAAGGTGTGTTCCGGGTCATCCACCTCTGCGTCGCAGAATTTACACTTGGTGGTCTCCCTTTTCCCTATTCGGTTCAGGTACGATCCGAAACATCCATGCCCAGACAGAAATTGGCTAATATAATAATGAGTTTCCCCATTTTACTGCTCACCCATACTTCGATTTGTGGAATCAAGCGTTTTGTCCATTCCGCCTTCTGTGTATCATCCCATTGTCTTTGCCACTCTTCGTATAATTCTTTATTTGCAGTCTCAGTTCCGTCATAGCATACTTGTTCCATCATCTTCTTCCTTTTCTTGGCAAGAAGCTCTAGGGGTTGCATCTTGCTGATTACGCATAATGCTTCTGCAGACACTGTCCTATAGGTGGATGCAATTTTAATATTTATCTGCCTCTGGGTTGTCTTTATGATTTGGTTGTACTTTTTAATTCTCATAGCCTTGAGCCAGATTGGGGCTCCGTACATAATTATTGACTGGGCCGCCAGTGCTATTACTTGCCTCTTTGCTTGAGTGGGTCCTCCAATTCTGGGCATCAGTCTGCCTAGGTCTCCCATCAGTTTTAGCGCCTTGTTCGTAGCTGCTATTACATGTTTTCCCATAAGCAATCCTTTATCCAGGATCATGCCCAAGTATTTAACTTCCGTCTTTATTGGGATTACTATCCGCTTATGTACTATACACACCCCCTTCAGTGGTAGGTGCCTATTTAGCACCGCCGCTTCTGTTTTTTCAGGGGCTATCTGGAGGCCGTTCCTCCTCATCCACTCGTCCACAACGTGTAAAGTTGCGCAGGTCTTAGTATTAAGGCTGGCCACGCTTTCCGCCGTAGCCCAGATTGCCACGTCGTCCGCGTAGCAGATCAGTTTGACTCCTCTGGGCAGCACCACACCCATCAGTCCGTCGTACAGCACATTCCAGAGATCTGGCCCGAGCACTGATCCCTGTGGGACCCCTGCATACACCGCCCTTGTTACTCCCTTCGATACCGTAATCACTCTTTTTCTAAGATAGTCTTCAGTGACGTTTTGTAGATATTTATCTACCTTCCTTTTAGATAAATTCTCCGTAATTAACCTCCACGATGCCGCATTGAAAGCATTTTTTACGTCTAAGAGCACTACCACGCCGTATCTCATCTTTCCGTATCCCGTTTTCTCGGCCTCCTCGCTGAGCCTCCTATTTGCTGTTGTGGTTGACCTGCCCGTCCGAAACCCATGCTGATTATCATTTATGCCACCATTCTTTTTTATGTTGGCAAGCAGTCTCGTCTTCAGTACATTTTCGTAAACCTTTCCCATTACGTCCAGTAGACATACCGGACGATGTTTGACTTCCGCGTCTGTTATTTTTTGGGGCTTTGGAATCAGTACTAACTTCGACTTCTTCCAGCATTCGGGGAATCTATTCGTCTTTAGAAGTTTATTATACATTCTCATAAAGATATGTGGTTTAGCCTATCTCCGGTAGAAGTCCGTCAAGCCCCGGTGCTCTATTCGTCTTAATCCTATTTACTGCGCCCTTGAATTCTTCCATGTCTATCTCCTCGACGTCCGCGATATTTGGTTCTTCTTGTGTGTCGCTATTCTCTCATCTGTAGACGAAGAGTTTCTCGAACTCTTCTTCTTTCTGCTCGGCCGAAAGCTCGACCCTGGCATCTGGCATTTTGAGGGACCGCGCTACTATCTTGTACGCTTGTCCGAAGGGATCTTTGTTTAAATCGTTGTACAGGTTTTTCCATTTCCCCCTTTTTTCTTGACCTATGGCCGTCCGTAGTTTTTCTTAGCTGATCCGCCATTCTACTCGCTTTGTCGATTGCTCTTTCTACATGTGGTATAAAGCTTAGACTCCTGTCTATTTTAACCCCTAGTATGTCTTATTGTTCTCTCTAGGGGAACCCTCGTTTTGTCGACGACCAGGCTGGCCTCCGGTAACCTTCTTTTACCGGCCATTAGAGCCGCTTTCGTCTTTGCGCCAACTAGCTTAAGGTCTCTCTCTTCCATCCATTGTTGTGCTTTCTTTATCACCTCCGTTTTTTGCACCGCCCTATCGAGCTCACGGTCTCTTACCACCACACTATCATCATCCGCGTAGGCCACAAACTCCACTCCCGGCGGCACTCCCAATCTCAGCACTCCGTCGTAGGCAATATTCCATAGTATTGGCCCCAGCACCGAGCCCTGCGGCACTCCTCCGTTGGATTCAAAAGTATACCTCCTCCCTGTCGGCAGTTTAACTGTGTTCCTCCTATTGGTGAGGTAAATATATCAGTTTTCTTAAGTATCTAGGCGTATTCTTTTTCCCTAGTTCCTCCATAATGACCCTCGTCGGATGTAAGGGTTTTTCGGTGGGCATGCGGGTAGCTGCAGTCGTGCCCCAGAGTCTCTAAATAAAACTTATTTACACACCAGTTTTCTTTTATTTTGGACACCGTGTATCTACACCACAGAATACAGAAATAGTATTTAGTTGGTATCCCTGGTTTTGTTGTCGATACTGTAGTATTCTGCTATGCCGTTGCCTCAGTTTGCGGTCTTAGACCATATAGTACATGGACTGCTAATTGTAACTAAAATATGGTCAAGGACATCGCCTGGGTATGTGCGTTTCAGGGTAAACGAGTCTGTCCGAAATTGTCCGTTGAGACACGATTTGAGGCTGTCAACCTATAAATTCACAAACGTCAATTAATTAATAGTGTAGATATGGCAAAAAAAGCAAACCTATTCTTATTTGTGGACGTATAGAAGATAATCAGGAGTATTTAAAGCTTCCCGTACTACGCCGTTACCATAAAAGTTACTATTTACGCGATCCGAGTCGTGTTCATACGGCATTAGTTTACCCTGAGATTCACATACCCACGACTACAGTGCCCTCTATCCGTGACCACCCATTTTGTATTGAAAGCATAGGGCGATAGCAGTCCATGTACTATATGGTCTAAGGTTGCGGTACAATGGGCAATGGCGGCGATCTCAGGTGTCGAGATGTCGGAGCTGTTCGCTTCGGCTCAGCGGTACTCTAAGTTGGCCGGTAGCTGTAAGTTTATCGATTAGCGGGTTTTTATCCGGGAGTTGGTAAGCTATCGATTAATCGGGGTGCGAATGATTGGTACCGCCGGGTTCTATTTCAGGTGAATGACACCAGCACTTCCGAATACTCGGCCCGTCAGTGCGGTATGGTACTTATGCTAGAGGTGGTACACAGGATGTGACACGGCCACGACCCCAGTACACCACGCTCTAGGTTGAAACAAAATCAACGTTCGCAAACTGGGGGAATGCAGGTCGAAGGCCCCACAGTTCCCAGTTTCCGTACGTTGACTCGCTTCGTATCTAAGGTACTGGTGATAGTATGGTAACGAAAAGCAAGATGTGACACGGCCACTACCTCCGCTTAACGTTCACAACCTTACGACTAAATCAAGCAAGCGGGAGTTGGCTACATGCGGGTCACAGGCCCCACAGGTATCGAACTTCCGGGTGTTTGAGGGTTCGTCTTTCAAGGACTGGATGATTTCTAATGAATGGCGAGGTTAAGGGTGCAGGGACAGGTGGGTTAAGGATATAAGCGGAACGGAAACGGTATCGAATGCAAACGGGAAATCGGATGAATGATTATCAGTTTTAGGTCTGGATTCAGGTTTTCGGTCATCAAATGACAGGATAGAAGTGTCTTCTAAAATCAAGGGATCCTCCTTTTATACAGCCATGATTAGACTACGACTAGGAAGTGGAAATGACACTTGGTTAGGTTATCATTTATGATTAGCTAGCGACATCTATTGATGTCAATGTAGTGCATTTGTAAAGGAGCGTTTACACGCTCCATAAATAAAGGCACGGGTACATTGTTACCTTACACGGAATTGAATTAAAGGCATTTTGCACATCTAGTGAGGCAATAATTGCTACCTCCCTGGTGTGTCTGGTACCGCTCATGGCGTTTTTGGTAGTGTTCTTAATCCGGCCCAGTGCCTCTCCCTTTTCTAAATCCGAACTGGCTTTCCGATAAATTTGCATATGGCGCTATTCTTCCTGCCAGTACTCTCTCCATCAGCTTTCCCAAGTGGCTTACCAGAGAGATTGGTCTCACCGATCCCGGTTCCTTTTTTGGTATACGTACTACGTTCGCCTCTTTCCACTTCGCTGGGTACTCTCCCGTGGACATAACCTCATTAAACCCCTTTGTACACCATTCCGGTCTCGCTCCTGCCACTCTGCTAACCAGCTCCGGTGGCAGCCCATCCGGGCCGGGTGCTTTCTTCTTTGGCATTTTTTTAACGGCGTCCCTTATTTCCTGAACGGTGACTTTACGGGGGGTTTCTTCTTCTAGTTTCGTGTCCCATGCTTTCCATTCCGTGTCTTTATTTTGTAGCGGGAATAACCTATCTGTTTTTGCGATAATATCAGCGTCTGTACCGACTACCTTTGTTGTAAATTGCTGGACATATATCAGGGTTGTAAAAAACAAAAGAGAGTGGAAATACGCATTTTTTAGTAGTTATGTCAATTTAATTGTATCGTGAAAAGAAATAAAAAACCCAAAAGAAAACGGGTAGTTTTCATCAAGCTTTGTTAACAACCTTCGATCTTTTTCCCAGTTTGCCAGTTACAATTTTGTAGGCCCTTCCCCATATGTCCTCATCGAGTTCAGCACACAGCTTACGCCAGAAGGTCTTCTTTTTCTCTTGTATCTTTTTTCTTAAAGTCTTCTTCATATCTTTGTATATCGTGTTTAATGTGTGAGTCTCTTCCTCTCCTCCATTGTCGGCTCTCCTGTGTACTCTAGCGATCGTTCTCCTAAGGGCCATGCATTCCTTCCTCGTTGCAGCAATTTCCTCGTCCCACCAGTATGTTGCGCGTCTGCCTTCTCTATTCTTGCGCTTGGGCATGGAATAGTCTGCAATCTGCTGCATAACTTGCTGTAATCTTTCCGGAGAGTTAGGAGCGTCGGTACTTTCTAATATGTCTTTTAGCTTCTTCTCATCCAGCCTTTTAACCATCCATCCCGCATTATCGATGGGCTCTATTGTTCTCTCTCTATTATTTTTTTATTTTATCTCCCAAGAGATGTATTTATGGTCGCTTAATGTTTCCATTTCTTCCACTGCCCACATTACCACCTCACTGGTAACCGCCTCGCTACCCATAGTGACGTCTATAATCGATCGCCTACTCCCCCTCTCAAAGGTTGGAGCCTTGATTAAATACCACCAGGTCCAGCGCAGCCATCATCTCCTCAACTATTCTTCCCCTGGTGTTTGTCACAGTGGCGCCCCAGGTGACTGAGGCAGCGTTAACGTCGCCTGCTAGCAGCACTCTTCTGCTTCCCACTTTTCGCATGTCTGCTACCAGATTGTTGATTGTTCTGTTGAAATCCTCAAGGCTATCATTGGGCGGAAAGTAGCATCCGCACACCACTAGCCCTGCTACTTCCACCTAGATGTAATTTTCTCCAACTCATATTTTTTCCACGGTTGCCTTCTTATTCAAAACTGCTACTACGACACGGCCCGTACTATCTTTATACATATCGGATTTTACAGTCCTACCCACTTCAGATACCACTAGCAAATCTACCTCCCGCTCATTTGCGGTGTGCCAGAGCAGGTCAAAGGCCGCTCTTGAGTTATTAATGTTGGCCTGGATTGCCTTAACACTACGGTATGGAATTTTGATCATTATATAAATTTAACAGGGATTACACAACACGTTAAAAGGTTTCGGCTTGGCACCAGGTACAGTTGACACGCACACGAGTTAATAATAACTGATTATCACAGACTAATATCACGAGTGACTAGTTTTTCCTTGGGGCCGAGCTGTTTATTAGCCTCGACGATCTTCGTTTAGCCTCAGCATTTCTGACTGCTTGTTTGAACTTGGCGCACGCCATGGTCCAGGGCACATGTCCGTCCTCTTCACACATGTAGCATCTCTTCGGGTTCTCGCATTTTTCTTTGACATGGTCCGTTTGTCCACAGTTGTAGCATCGTTTAACGGACGCTTCTCCCTCTCTGCACTTGTGCCCTGGTTCATAGAACTCCCAACACTTGAAGCATTTTTCCACCTCGACCCTTTTCCTGATACGGCAGGGGACAATCCCTATCCAAACTCTGCTGTGGTTCTCCAGCTGCTGCTCTAGTGTCTTGTCCACCAGTATCGTAGCGGCCCTGCTGCCTCCCTCCGGTCCTCTTATGGGCCTTACCACCAGCTTATCAGGAGTGTCCGATTTCAGCAATGCCATTAGTGCCTCTTCTATTTCTCTCTCCGTCGTCACTTCGTCAATGTCCCTTAGGTGGAAGACCGCTTTCTCTTTTTCATCGCCCCTGACTGTGCATTTCGAGCCCATTTCGTTCTGGAGCTTTTCTTTGGCTCCTTTGATGTCGGATTTAGTTTTGTCTAGGACGAGGCGTAGGTGACCATTCCTGGTTTTTTGGATCGCCTTCACTGCGTGGCAGGGCTCTCCTACCAGCCCCTTCTTGGTTCCCTTTAAAAGGTCCGCGTACGTCTTCCCCTCTTCCTTTATTAGGAAAGATACTTCTTGCCTCTTTTTCTTTTCTTTGCGCATTCCGTCGAAGCAGTTATTCTATCGACTTGTTGTACAAGACACATTCTGCCACCTTCATCCATATGTCCCTCTCCTCGGGTGCGGTAAAGAATGTGACGTGTTTTTGCCCCTTGGCGCTCAGCTGTAGTGCTGCTTTCTTGACTGTGTTGATGACCCCTTTGGCCTTCTCCTCATTGGTCTTGCCTTCGATGGCTGCCACGAAAATGTATCTTTCTTTACCGTCTCTTTCCTCGTCCCCCTCCTCTATGACCGCCTCGGATTTCCGGAAGGTGGTTATACCTCCTTTAAACGTTTGGAGCCCTTTTACATGTTTTGCGAATTCCGGATGACGGCCCGCCAGCTCTTCCCGGACCGTATCGCCTTCAGCCGTTCTATACAGCACGACTTCACTCTCTATCCACGCTTCCCCGGCGTCCATCATTCCCCGTGCGCTTCCTTCGGGCCACTTCTTTTTAACCACCTCCCAAATCTCCTCGGTTTAGGATTCGTCTATTTCTGCCTGGATTTCCTCGCGTTCTCGATCTTCGGCAGCGATCACCGTCTTGCACCTTTGGCACTAGTTGGAGACCTGCCGGGCTGCTTCCTTTTTGCGTGCCATCGGATTCTTCTCCTCGATGAAGGCTCTTATCTCGTCATTCGCCAACTGTGAGACCGCGCTTCTTAGTTCTATGGCGACTTCTTTAATTTCCCTGGTCGTATTTTTGGTAATGAGCTCATCTAGGCGCTTGACTTTCTTTTGCACTCTTTCGATTAGTTGTATTATCTTGACGTTCAGTGCCCTTACCCAGGTAGCATACTGACGTACACTTGACGTTAGTTTTAAGTAAAGTTTCGTCAGTGACGTCATTCGTCGATTTCCTCGTGCGGCTCTTCAATATCCTGTGTCACGAACCGATCTCTAATCAATGTTAAAATGGCCGAATTTTGGCGCGGTCGGTGTGCTCAACAGCGATTTGCGCATAAACTGCAGCACGCAGCAGTGGTTTATGTTTATTTAATGGCGGTCTGCGTGTGTTAAGTTGTTAACACTTAACATTTAGGTTTGGTTTGGTTATTTGTAAGATAGTGTCGTGGCGGTTCCTTAGTACTCATATATAGGTACATCGATTGTACGTTTGTTACTTGTAAGTACCCACTTTCGTAACCTATCACCTGTAGCATGTGCACATTTTGGTTATCAGCTATATTATCAAGGATTTTTGCAGAGTGTACATATCATGAACACGTTTATAGGCATCGAGTTCGCAGACGAGGGAGCAGTCGCAGTAGTACATAGTTCATGGTTGACGCCAAAAAAAAAGAAGTGTACTGGCCCCCATACAAGCAACAGTATAAATATGACCAGGCTTTGATAAAAGCTGAAACTCCAAACGAACAACAATGGAAATTGCACACTGTTGCACGCTGTTTTTTTGATTGTGGTACTTAAATTTGACGATTGTATACCTGCGTGTTTCAATTTACATTTCTAGATGACTTACATAAAGCATACCAAAAGTTGAGACAATGCCAATACAGTTCGGACGTACAGAGTGAGGTTGAAGAAACAAAAACTGAAAAAAGAAAACGTATCCCTGTAAAACGAATGATTAGTAGTGAGGACGAGTCATCAGAAGCAAGTTCCTCTAAACTTCCTCGTCCTCCTAGATTTGACAGTAAGTTTCTTATGAGTAATTTATTAATAACACATTCATGGACACGATTGCTATAGCCGTCTTGCGTTTGGTGACAGGACGGCTATAGTCGGCATTGTTTAAATTCGCACAACGGCGGCACTGTCACGGAACGGAGGACGGCTATAGCGTCCATGGATGTGATAATATCGGTAGTCACCAGGAGAGGTTCATAGTCCATTTGACAGAACTGTTGTACCCAAGGATACTATACAATATAAGGATTGCTCGATCACTGAATTTTTTCGCTGCGTCTAGTGACGTCACTGTCGGACCCAGACGCACTGCATGCTTTGATTTTTAGATTTGTGCATCACTGTCATTTGTATTTTATATTATGTAAGATTCTAAGAGCTCCTTCTCACGATGCGTTTTTGAAACGCTGCGCAGAGTGGAAATTTTCTTCGAAAAAAAGATACGGTTATGCGGAAATGTCAGATGAGTAAGAACAGAAATTTATAAGTCTCTTCTGTACAATTTCTGTTATAATTTTGGATTTGCCACACCGTGCTACAATGGTTTTTACCACACAATATGAAGTGTTTAGTCTAATAGAGCTTCGCCTTCCTTCAACGGTCGAACTACAACCCCCACATATCAGTAATAACAAACTTAGCTTTATATACAAAATATCAGTACAAAAATATGTACGCTCTTTACTAAGGCACAAGTAAATCAACTCTCCTCAAACCAGACACAATTTTTTTAAAAAACGACGCCCTTCTTGGTACGTGCGCTTTTGTTGCGTGAAGGCGCTTCTGAAAAGCGCTTCGTGCTACTTGTGGCGCTGCAAATCGCACCATGTGAAGGGGTCAAGCTACCAGCCGCTTCAAAAAACGTCTGCTAAGAAGGGGTCTAATACGTCCAAATGGATGTTATAGGTAGGTATTTATATTAGAAACACTTGTAATTCATCGTCTACAAATTCTCCTTCGGTTTTTCGCATACTCAAAATATCGTGAACCCATTTCATCCTGCGTTTTTGGTTTTTTACTCTTCATCATCCATGGAAATTGCAGCTAAATCGGGTACGTTACGCTAATAAGCCCCCCAGGTATGATCATGAAATTGATAGAAATGGATAGAGGACACCTTAATAACACGTTTAGATTAAAAAAAATTGCGGAAGAGGGCCTAAATTTTCCACAATCTTAATTAAAAGCACCTCATTTTCTGGAAATCTGGTGTTATTTTACGTATATTTTGTAATTCTTAAGTTGGTGAAACTGAAAAATTTTATGTGACAGCTCTTTTTCCCCTAATAAACAAAGGTGACAGTAAATTTTTGTAGGAGGTTATGTTAACTCCTTCGCCTACTAAAATGAAATATGTTGGGTTTAACGTGTATATTAAGAAAATGTAATAAAAGTAGTACAACAGGTATAATATACAATACAATTTTAGGTTTTGTTCGACTTAAACACCAAATAAGCGACACTTCCATGTGACTGACATTTTAATAACACCACTTTTTGAAGCTTATACAGTCTAAACTTGAATGCATTAGGGAAGAAGGATGTCGTAGAGAAGGTTGCATGTGGCAACAATTTCTTGGTATCGATCACCGAGAGGGGAAACCCGGACACTTCCTGCATGTTTTATATGAATCGACGCTTAGCTTCCACCGCCTAATACGGTCGAGAGGGGAAGGAACATCTCTCGCATTTTCCATGGATCGCAGCTACGTTAGCGATCGCTGCTTAACTTAGAACGCCTTTTCCGTATCGATCGCCGCTTAGCATCCACCGCCTAATACGGTCGAGAGGGGAAGGAACATCACTCGCATTTTCCATGGATCGCTGCTTAGCAATGTAGGATGTAGAGAACTACTTACTGCTATTATGGTATAATTAAAAACATTGTATATCATTGTTTAAAGTTAATTAAATCGTGGAAAAATAACATAACCTCTTAAGAAACTAACTAAAGTTGGCACTCAGGAATGTTAAGAACACCAGTACCAACTGAAAAACAATCATGAAATTTGGAGTAATGTAACCTCACTTACGACGAAATGAAGTGAACTTTGAATGAAGATTGTGGAAAATGTAAGGCTTCTTCCGCAAATTTTTTAACTGATAACATGTAATTAAGGTGTCCTCTATCCATTTCTATCAATTTCATGATCATACCTGGGGGGCTTATTAGCGCGACGTAACCGCTAAATCAGTTTATTTCAACTTTGTCCATCTTTAAAATAACGATTTCTCGACGTTCTTCTTGACACTGGCTAAAATGAGCGCCAGTTGAGTGTAAAATGTGAATACTACCCCAAATTGTTATTACAGTCCCGTACTGCACGCCGGCGTTCAAGCATTTTTGTTGCAATATAGCGAACACATACACACAGTTATAACGCTAATGCAAAAACGTTGACAACTTAGCAAATTATAACTGTCAATTCTGACAGCCAGGTCCGTTGGTGACGTCACATATGACTTAAACTCGGGCAACATTACAAGTATAGGGATCGAGCAATCCTTATATTATATAGTATCCTTGTGTTGTACCTATGTTGCTTACGATTTCCCGCATGATTTTATGTACGATTCGCTTTTTCGATATACCATATGATTACGACCTCACGGTAATCACTCCTGGCGACGATATTGTTTGTATTGGTTTCTTTTCCTTGTACTCCCAGTAATTATTTCTTCAAGGTCCTATTAATACCTTCAAAGGGGATGGACCACGAAACAAAATTTCCGAGCCTTCAACTCCCGGAATTCAAGGTAAAAATAAAAAAAAGGTTACTTCACGTTTTTTATACATATAGCAATATAGTACTATATATTCAGTGCTCCACCTTCGTGGTTTATCATACATCAAATGAACTGCTAATATTAAAATTGACATTTCTGATTCTTGAAAGTACACTCGTCTTTAGTACATGTGAGGTACAGTGGCGTATAAATTTTGGATTCTTATTGTATTATGTAAATCATGATGTTTGCTATTTCTTTCAAAATATGTAACTTCTTTCAGGTATTAATAACACCAATCTGGAACATACATCATGCATAACCATCCTGTCCGGTATGTTAACCGTGTATCAGACCATAAACAATTTGTTCATTGCTATTAAACTTTAGATGCAGCACGAAATACCTCAGTTACTACTACTTCCACGCCAAGATTAGATCAAGCCGGTGGGTTATCGTTATCACTACAACAAACAATTGAGTTATTGTGTATTCAATTTTAGATTTTGAGCATATTAGTGAAGATATTAGTGGACTAAATACACCTGTAAATACTCATACATCACGATTAAGCCGAACAGGTGGGTTTAATTTTCATTAATTTCATCTATTTTTTTTATTTTTTTTAGGTTTTGAAAAAAATTCTTATCTTTATTAGTTCAAATAAATGAGCAAAACAAAGAAATAATATCTTTGCTAAAACAGGGTTATAATGGAAACACATCTGGTAATACATCTCGGCGACTAGAACTACCTATAAAATTTCCCATCAATTCCAACGAAGAATTGGCACAATTGGAATCTTATTAGGAAATTGTGGCTAATGCTTCTAATTTGGTAAGCTTTTTAAAACATGTTATTTCTGTGAATTTTTTCATTTTCTTCTACAGGTATCATTCTTATCTTCGATTGGTGGTAAGGATGCCACATCGAAAACAAACAGGATTTTAAAATATATTATTACAAATAACTTTGCATCACAATTTTCCTTTTATGGAAAACGGTCGCAAAAAATGCCGTTTGCAAATTTAAAATGTAAAAGTGTTGTAGTTGGTATGAAACTATTCCTTCTTTAAATATGTTGGTTTATCATTTTTTTGTTAGATGCTGTGAAGAAAACGTCCCCAAATGCAACTCTTAGGCTAGGTTCAGATGACAAGCGCTCAGCGCGCGTTGAACGCGCGTTGAATTTTTGTATAGTGTTCACATGGTGCGCGCTTGTCAGGCGTTAAACGCGCGTTGTTGCGGCCAGTTTGAGTTCTACATTTGTCGAAGATGGACGTAGAAACAGTTTTATCCGTGATTTTATACAGACGGCAGAAACGACACAACAGAAGACGGAGATATTGGGTTCACCCAATTTTGTCAACCAGGCTGACTGAAAGTCAGTACATTATTTTATATCCTAAGTTAAGGCAATTTGAGCCCAAATTCTTTAACTACTTCAGAATGTCCATCAAGTCATTTGATGACTTACTGACTCTCATAAACGATGAACTCGTAGCAGATAAAAACGCTGTGCGATATAGCATTTCACCGGAAGAAAAACTCATAATTACATTGAGGTAAGTTTTTTAATAATCAACATAATCTATAAATCAAATTAACTTGTTTAGGAACAATTTTTTTAAAGAAAAAATAACATTTTGTTACTCGCAGAATAACTCTAACTCTGATTCATTGCTGACATTAGTTGGTGCTGGCGATGGAGTAGGTGTTACTGGCGATGGAGACCCCATTGCTGTAGTATAACTATAATGTGCAAAATTATTTGACACACTAGACTGCTGTGATCTATAATCATAATAACGAAAGCCTTCAACAGAAGCTGATGACTGATGACGCTGCTCTTGTGATGAATAATTTCTTCGTTGTGATACCGGGTAATTTTGATATTCATATGTCTGTTGTTGTGGTCCTTGAAATTCATTTTGGTTTTGCAAAATTAAATTATAAATGGCAATTTTAGTTTGAAGTCGCCTATATTCCGGAATTTTTTTAATCTCTTTAACGAGTGACAAACAAAACAGCTTGTCTTCATCGTCATCTTCTTTTGGATGAGACACATTTTTCTGTGCTAAACTCTGCTCTAATATGTTTGCAAATCTTTCATCAGCAGGATTTAATTTTTGTTTTTTTCTTGAAGTAGATTTAGGACTCTTAAAGCCAGAACTTATTTTTACTTCAGCAACCTCTGACGAAGTTGATGCATTATCTGCATCGAAACTACTTTCTGTATCTTTGTTGGCAATTGATGCCTGTAGAAATTGTAGTCTATTATAATGAATATATGTCGAAGTTTTGGAAGCTCCTGATCCAGATTTGACAGTCTTTATTTTCTTCACCTCTCTCATATAATTATCCCGTAAACTCTTCCACTTTTTTTGCAGGGATGACGCTGAAAAAAAAAACAGTATTTAGTAATAGTTTATGTTTGTTTCCAGATATTTGGCCATTGGATGTTCATTTGGGACATTAAGCTACGACTATAGAATTGGCAAATCTACTGTGGCTACTATAATACCACATGTATGTGAAACTATTTGGAAAAAATTAAGGCCCGTTGTTATGAGTGAACCAACGAAAGAAAAGTGGTGTGAAATATCCACGATATTTGAAAAGAACTCAAAGTTTCCCAATTGTTTGGGAGCCTTGGACGGGAAACATATACGGTTAATCCAGCCTGAACACACGGGTTCTATGTATTATAACTATAAAAATTATTTTTCGCTAGTTTTATTGGCGCTAGCGGATGCAAACTATTGTTTTGTGTGGGTTGACATAGGTGCCTACGGTAAAAACAGTGACTCAGGTATATTCAAGAATTCTTCATTGTACAAAAAGCTGACAGAAAGGTCATTAGATCTACCTGAGCCAAAGGCATTATTAATACAAAATAGACCGACAACGTTGCCATATGTGATAGTGGCTAATGAAGCTTTTGGCATGATGGAGAATTTAATGCGTCCATATGGGGGAAGGTCACTAACTTATGCTAAAAAAATATTTAATTACCGTTTGACATTAGCACGCCGGTATGTTGAATGTACTTTTGGCATAATGTGCAATAAATGGCGCATTTTACACAGGCCGTTAGATGTTAACATCGGTTTTGCAGAAAAGATCGTAAAAGCGATATGTACACTAAATAATTATGTCAGAATCAGGGATGGCTACAATTTTGAAGACACACTTTATACTCCACCCCTGGAAAATCTAGCCTCACATTATACCGGACGTGCTGTGCGACAGGCGGATAATGTTCGAGTACATTTAACAAACTATTTCATTAATGAAGGAAAAGTAGATTGGCAGGATCGTTATATTTAACTTGTAACACAAATCGATTGTAAATGTAAATAAATATATATATACTCACATAATATTTTCTTCTTTTCTTCATTGTCATGTCCTTCACAAAATATAAGGACGAGTTCTTCCCAAGCCCGTCTTCTCAAATTCTTATCTGAATAATCGCTACTTGTCATGTCCCATATCGCAGGACGTTTCTCTATTTCATCAATTAATAATTCCGTATTAAAAGCTTCGGTTTCCATTTCGGACGATTTTCGGACGAACTTGACGAACCCTAAAATACGTCTATCCGCGTCGAAAGCGCGCGCTCAACTGAACGGAAACATAGAAAACCAATGATCTCAAAGCGGCGTTGACGCGCGCTGACAACAGTCGAGCGCTAGCGCAGCGTTGAACGCGCGCGTTACTAAAACGCGCGTTAGCATGTGTACGGCCTGAATAAAATGTATGTAGTTGTAAACGCGCGTTATCAAAACGCGCGTTGAGCGCTTGTCATCTGAACCTAGCCTTAGCCGAACAGGTGGGTTTAATTTTCATTAATTTCATCTATTTTTTTAATTTTTTTTAGGTTTTGAAAAAAAATTCTTATCTTTATTAGTTCAAATAAATGAGCAAAACAAAGAAATAATATCTTTGCTAAAACAGGGTTATAATGGAAACACATCTGGTAATACATCTCGGCGACTAGAACTACCTATAAAATTTCCCATCAATTCCAACGAAGAATTGGCAAAATTGGAATCTTATTAGGAAATTGTGGCTAATGCTTCTAATTTGGTAAGCTTTTTAAAACATGTTATTTCTGTGAATTTTTTCATTTTCTTCTACAGGTATCATTCTTATCTTCGATTGGTGGTAAGGATGCCACATCGAAAACAAACAGGATTTTAAAATATATTATTACAAATAACTTTGCATCACAATTTTCCTTTTATGGAAAACGGTCGCAAAAAATGCCGTTTGCAAATTTAAAATGTAAAAGTGTTGTAGTTGGTATGAAACTATTCCTTCTTTAAATATGTTGGTTTATCATTTTTTTGTTAGATGCTGTGAAGAAAACGTCCCCAAATGCAACTCTTAAGGATATAGAAGATTGCATTAAAATTTGGTTGAAGCATTCACCGCAACGTTTTAAATTAGAGGGAAAAGCCAATTTGATGGAGAATACAAATCAAGGCCTCCAATAGAAAGTTTTTCCGCCGAATAGGTAAATTTTAATTCTGTATAAGTAACAGTTTTTTGTTAGTTTAGATGTACGTATAAGTACATATTTTTATTTTAAGTTTGTTTTACATGATATCCAAGTTTTGTCATAGTTTATAGATTAATCAAAACCTTTTATAGTTTAGTGTTCAATCATTCGTATTCTTAAAATGAGTTCTCATAAAAAGCAAAAACTGGTATACAAACATAAATATCCTGTAGGAAGGCGACAGTTGTATCGTCGTGTTGCAGATGCAGTTCAAACGATAGCTACAGAAATCAATATTGAATCCTCCAATTATAATGATAGTCAACATTTAGAAAATAACAATTCAAGAGACTCTGAAAATTTGTGTAGTACTTCAAATGATTTTCAAATTAAAGAATGTATACAAGAGCAATATTTTGAAAGTAAAAACCTCCCTACTGAACTAAATAGTTCTGATAATTCTACAAACTCTTATGATGACCAATGCGTTCAAAGTGAAAATTTTAGAAGCTCTGATGAAAATAATATTTATGATAATGCATGCAGTGATGATGGTATTATTAATGATGACCAGAATAATGACCTCGCCACTTTACTAAGATCATGGACAATTCAGAGTCGCTGAGTCGCATTCCTCATGTTAATGTTACCGAACTACTGCACATTTTGTCACGTTTTCATCGTGAACTGCCATTAGATTGCAGAACACTGCTTAAAACTCCTGTCAAAACTATTACAAAAAAACTAGATAATGGCGAATACTGTCATATAGGGTTAGCTCATGGTCTTAAACATTGTATTTTGAGTTTCCCAAATTTAATAAATTCTCCAATAAATATAAGTATCAATGTTGATGGTATTCCTTTATTTCGCAGTTCAAACATTAGCCGGTGGCCCATATTAGTTCTCATTAAAAATATTAATAGTAACCCTTTCCCTATTGGAATATTTTGTGGCACTCAAAAACCATCACCATTAAATGAATATCTAAAAGATTTCGTAGATGAAGCTAAAATATTAACAGAAAATGGTTTTGTAGTGAACCAACGCAAGTATGTGATTAAAATTCACAGTGTCATTTGCGATGCTCCCGCACGAGCCTACATTAAGTGCGTGAAATCCCATGGAGGATATTCTTCATGTGACAAATGCAGTGAACATGGGGAATATTGTAATGGTAGGGTAGTTTTACGGGGCATTTCGTCTTCACTTAGAACTAATGAAACGTTTTCACAACAATTAGATGAAGATTATCATTTAGGGACATCACCACTTTCTGAACTTTCTTTGAATATGGTCAAGTGTTTTCCAATTGACTATATGCGGAGTTATGCGTAAATTGTTGAATGTGTGGGTTAGTGGTCACCCTTTACAAGTGCGACTTAGTGGTAGAATGACAAATTTACTATCTCAGCATTTATTATCATTGAAACAGTATATTCCGTGTGAGTTTAACAGAAAGCCGAGATCGCTCTCAGAGTTATCTCGTTGGAAAGCGACAGAGTATCGAACATTTCTCTTATACCTAGGGCCAGTTGTATTAAAGGACATTCTTGATGTATCAGTATACGAGCATTTTTTGCTATTTCATTTTGCTATATCTATTCTTTCATGTAATCGCCATATCACTCATTTTGGTTGCAAGTTACCAGGTGAAATATTAAATAAATTTGTTGTACATTGTGAAAAACTGTATACTTCACAATTTATGATATACAATGTTCACCTTCTTTGTCATTTAAGTGCAGATTGTGAATTATATGGAGAACTAGATGCATTTTCAGCATTTCCTTTTGAAAATTTCTTAGGAAAATTAAAGAATCTTGTTAAAAGCCCCACAAATCCCCTACAACAAATCTGTCGAAGACTGTCTGAAGCTAGATGGTTACGACTAATAACCGAAAGAAATACTACGAATTTTTTGTATCAATATGAGCATAATATGGGTCCATTACTGTATTGCACAAGTGTAAAACAATATAAAAAACTGATTTACAAATTTGCTACTTTTTGTATCTATACTCATTCTGCTGCGAATGCTTTCTGTATGGTACAAGGAAATAAAGTGATACAAATTTGTAATATTGTAGTTGATACTTCAAATCACATTAGCATACTCGTATTGGGACGTAGATTTTGTACGTATGAATCTTTATACCACTATACTTATCATTCAAAGAATTTAAATATTTTTATTGTCGGTAATCTGTCTGATGAAATAAAAAGTTATGCTATGAAAGACATTGTTGCTAAATGTGTTCTGTTTAAGTACAGTGATAATTTAATTTCTTTTCCCATAATTCATTCTTTGTAGTGATTTGAAATGCATCTGAAATACAACATATTGCTTGCGCCACCTATACTTGGGTATAACTCATTGATGTATATCGTAATAATATGCTTACTCTTCAAGGCGTCTCTTACAGTCTCACACATATTACAACTTATTAGAAAAGGATGAAAAGGATGCCAATTTGTAACTTAAGTCTGTTGTGCAATTCATTGGCCGGTCGAAAACGTACGTCTTGCATCTGCATTGTTTTTCATCTACTTTTGTAATTCACCAACCCACCTCAAATTATTACTCTTATATCAAAATAATGATAATTGCCTTTTTGATTTGCAACCGAGTATCAAATCTACGATATAAATTCAAAATTTGACGGATTACAGTAGAGACATCTAACGGCGCGTATTATAAAAAAACGAATATTAAACCCCTCACTTTTAAAAATGAGTCATACCCAAGTATAGGTAACCCAGACTATATCAATTTATTATGTTTCTATTAGATGTAAGTATTGCCATGTATTCTATTATTAGGATGTTGGTAACAAGATTACATAATAAAGGTTTTAATTAATCTGTATTTCAATTGTTACAAAGTCAGTATATAGTGATTTATTAGGGTGTTTATGACGTCATACCATATCACGTCAAATATCTGTGACACAAGTCATTTTAGACGTTCTTTTTAAGTCATCGTATGACGTCTTTTACGTGATTGTCGTCACCAAATTTCTTGGCTGACGGGAGCCCCTCTCCGGCCCCGTCGTGCTTTCTCTTAGGTGTCTCTGCTGGCCCCGCTGGAACCGATTTCCCTTCCTCCTCGGACCATCTGAACTCCCAGGATCCTACCAGGGGAGAGTTCGGTTCGGTGCCCTCTTTTTCTAAGACCGCAGCGATCCCTTCTGCCAGTGACGGCCTCCGTTCTTCCGTTCCAGCCGGAGTTTTCCCCGACATTTCCACTTTTACACTAGCCCCCCGAAAAGGGGTGCGCGCAGGGGGTGCAGCTGCCCCTCCGTATGAGGTGTCTGCGGACGCGTAAAAAGCGCCAAATACAGCGGGCCGAGGACCGGGTAAAACCGACCGCTCGTGGGGTGTTTTCTTTGCCTCCCCAAAAAACGGGGGGTGTAGCTACTCCTTCGTGTGGGGTGTCTACTGATGCGTCTTTGCTGCAAGGTGGCCAAAACGAAAGAAATCCGACCGCGCGTTTGGCTTCTATGGCCCTATCAGCGTTCACCGCGATCGCACTTTGTTTGTTAGTTTATCTACACCTACGTATTAAAAAATGTGCGCGTTTCAAAGTGGCACTACCGCCTCGGGATTGGACTCAAAATTTTGGTCGGAACAAGACGCACACAACTGCACCTGTTCCGATCTCACCGCGCACCCCTAACCGCCGCTAAAGCCCTATCAGTGCAAAAATGCTACAGTTTGATCGGGCTGCTACCGGCCTACCCGCGCGCCGATAAAAATGGGCTGGTGCAGACTTGACTCGCCTTGTTGAGGGCTATTTATTTACACTAACTCCTACCTTATAGCTGCTCTCCTTCCGGTAGTCACTAGCACGTGCCGTGTGTAGGTCGCCGCGGAAGGGATGTTCGCACCCCCTCGTGCCTGGTGTCAAACGATAGGTCTTGGATCCCCCGTTGCACCAAACCTTGTCGCGACGCTCTCCGCCGTCCGCCTGCGCCTCTATGGCCCTATCAGTCGCTATCACTCGAAACTTGATAGGCTTCTAGCACCCGTCTCCCTGGCTCGATAAGGTCGACCCGGTGCGGGTTCAACTCGTGAAAAGAAGGGCTTCGCCTGGGTACCCGGCACGACCCGCTACCCCTTGGCTTTCCGCCCCCGGTCTTATCACCAACACTCGTTCTAATTAAATTCCGTTTAAAAGCTTTAAGCGGCCTACTCACGAGGCAATTTGCAGGGTACAATTTGCAGGGACCCTGCGGATTGTCTCGTATGTATTGCAATCGTTCCAATTTTTTAACGACTTCACGATATCGGCTAGTTGGGTTCTCAGTCATTCCAATCGCTCTGCTCCCCTCCCGAATACCCTGCGAATTATTGTGTGTGTGGGACAGTTGGAGGCGATTTGATCTTAATAAATGAGGTTATAGGTCGGCCGGGTTATTTGTTCTTTCACGTTGATTATTTTTTCTTGTTTTTGGCTAGAAAAAGTGGATTAGTGAAATACAATAATTTAAAAACATAATGTTGGAAAAAGAAAAGGAAGTATGGACCGATATCATCGACACATTTCGAGATATGCCTTTTTTATGGGACAAAACAAACAGTAACTACCTGAATCGCGATATGAGACAGGAAGGCTTCAATATTTTGCTAGATAAATATAAAGTGTTCGACAAATCAGCAACTTTAGATGTATTCAAGAAGAAATTAGAAAATATGCGGACAACGTATAACAGGGAACTAAAAAAAGTAAGTTGTTAATATAGATTTTTATTACTTTGTGTCTGTAAAAAGTAGGCATTTTACTAGTTTTGTATTATAATTTTTAGATAAAAAATTCGAAAATAACTGGGTCAGGATTAGATGATATTTATATACCATCATTGTGGTATTTCGACCTGATGGGATTCTTAACAGAAAATACCCAACCAAGCCGTGACGGAAAAGATACTTTGGAAAACTCTACTCAGGTAAATAATAACAAATACTATCAATCTATGATTTATTTATTTATTTTTCTTATAATGGCACAACTCTCAACATATTTTCCTGAAAAGAAACACTGCCTTCTGCATTGAAATATTCTTTAAATACGTTTCGAACATATTTACCTTCTTCATTCCTTTGCCTATCGCTAATTTGTGCGAGAGGAACTAAATTAGTGCCTATATCACGCCACGCACCAAGGTCAAATGTCAAATTTTCTGTATTTTCTTTATCTACAAATGTCTGTGTGATGTAGCTAGATGATTTGTTTCTCAAATAATTATGAAGTGCACAACAAGCCAATACTATGGGATCAACATTGTCAACATTGGTAGCAATAGTTTGTAGTAAAACCCTAAATCGAGATACCATTATGCCGAAGGCGTTTTCAGAAACTCTTCTGGCACGAGATAGCCTGTAGTTGAATATCCTCTTTTCATGATCTATGTTTTTGAACGGATATGGTTTCAGAATGTGTCTACTAATAGCAAATGCACTGTCGCCGAGAAATACATAAGGGCCAGAACTGTTGCTATCTGGTAAAGGAGACGAAGGTGGCAAGTTTAGATAACCTCTAGTTAACATTTTAAAGAAATTTGTATTTTGTATAACACCCCCATCTGAAATACTTCCGTTTGTTCCAGTGTGTACATACATAAATTCATAATTTGCATTGACCACAGCAAACAGTACTACACTAAAAAAGCTTTTGTAATTGTAATACGCAGAACCGCTGTGTGGTGGCTTCCGTATTGCTATGTGTTTTCCGTCCATAGCCCCTAAACAATGACTAAAATTCCACTTGGTTTCAAATTGGTTGGCGACACGTTTCCATTCTTCTTCTGTTGTTGGCATCTAGAACAAAAAATCAGTGATAAACAATGATGAAAAAAATTATAAAATATAAACACAAAATATATTAACTATATTTTTATTTTCAGGAAACACCTCAGGTGCCTGTTGAGTTATCTAATGAAAATGCACTCGACCAAGAAGCTTCAGGAACTAATGCAGCCACTCAGGAGGAAATACCATCAACATCAAAAATGACAAATACTAAAAGGCAAAGAAAAAGCTTAGACAAGGCTAAAGAAGAAGTACTGAAAAAGGCAAATAAATTACTAGATGATACGGAACAAGAGTGGGAAATAATCGGAAAATCCTTAGGACTCCAGTTAAGTACAGTGGATCCACAGCAATCAGCTATTGCTAACAAATTAATTTCTGATGTTATTTTTTACGCCAAATTGGGGAAATTAACTGAAAATGCATCAATTATATTGAATCCCGCAGTCCAGACACCGTACCATTACCAATATTCTTCGTCATCGCCGTCGTCCCGCCATTCAGTAGCATCTGTATCTACTCCAAGAGTGTCTCAGTATTCAGCCTCATATTCAGCACCTCCCAGTATTTCGATGGGACCAATATCCCTTCAATACTTGGCTTCAGGTTCGACACCAACAACAAATCAAACAGCAAGTTTTTACCCTGTCGACCGAACACCTACTGTCGTCCATCCAACAACTTTCGATCAACCACCTCCTGAAGATACCGACATAATATCTCAGTATCTTGTGTTTAAATGATTTCAATAAAAATTTAATTATCAAAAGTGTATATATTTTTTTTAACTTACCTTTATATAGTGTTTCAAACAATTGTAGATAGCCCAACATGTTTCTGGAATTATACTAGATAGGAGTTGCGGGGATATAACTGCGCTAAATTTTAGGTCTTCGTAACTTCTTCCGGTAGCCAGATACCTCAAAGTAACAATTAATCGTTGTGTGGCACTAACGCTGGATCTCATTAAAGTGTCTTGTTTGGCAATTAAAGGCCCCACCATATTAAGAAGTTCTTCAAAACAGTTACTATCCATCCGTAAAAAGTTTTTAAAGTCCTCTGCTTCCAATTCCTTCATTAAAATTGTATGAGAAAATTGACTTCTTTTTAGCAACCATTGTTTTGTCCAGTACTTTCTTCTCTTTTTCTTTTCATCAGAGTCTAATGTCACTAATGCTAATGCTATACCAATTTTTTGGCGCTTTGAGGGAGCCATGGTGAGATACTACACGCACTCGGAAATCAACAACTCTACTGATAAATTGGGATGTGTAGCGTCTACACCCAATTTCGTTACAAATTGTTCCCTGCAAATTGTACCCTGCAAATTGCCTCGTGAGTAGGCCGCTTTAAAAATCTCTATCTCCGGATCTACCGGTCCGATTTAAATGATTTAACCACCAAAAACAGCTAATTTTAGCGCGCACACAACAATACCACCAAACAAAATTTACACATTAAAACACACGCCAACACTTTAAAACAGCCGCAGCTCGGTTAAAACACGTCCTAAACGGTACGAAACTCGAGCTACGACTAACCTAACCTAACCTAACCGAGTATGGTTCTCACGCCACGGCCAGGCATCACCTGAAGGGATTCTTCTAGCCGCTTTGTTTCTTGTTCTTACTTATCTGTACATTCGGCCCTCATGCTCCCTGGTATTAACTATCTTGTGGCAGTATTGTTCAATGCAGGTCCATTTTCGCTCTTCCGTGCACATTATATTGGCTATGTTCATTGGCGTTACTTCTTCCCCGATGTTGTTGTTTAGCTCCCTCCGTCCTCCGTACCATCTTGGGCACTCAAAAAACGCATGTGCCTTATCGTCATGCAGGCCACAGTCCACACATTCTTTATTCTCTCTCTTGCCAATTCTCCAGAGATAAGATCCATTTTCGCCATGCCCTGTTAGAAATTGGGTGAGCGTGTAGTTCACCTCCCCATGTTCCCTACCTAACCAGGTTCTCAGGTCCGGTATTATTTTCCGCGTCCATGATGTTCTGCTATCCCAGCGCATTTGCCATTCCATACACAGTTTCTCTTTTCCCCATTTTTCTAGCCTGGCCTTCACCATAATATCGATTGGCGGTATCCCCGCCACCACCAACACATCTTCCATAGCCGCCGTTGTGTAAGCACTGACCGTTTTTATAGCTAGGAGTCTTAGTACTTTATTGCACAGGTCCCGCGCACATCTCCACTTTAAGGCTTCCCCCCACACCTCACACCCGTACAAAAGCACCGATTTGATGGCACTACACATTACTCTTCTTTTCGACTCTCTTGCCCCGATGTTCGGCAATATTCTCTCCAGTGCTGCATAATTTCTCAAAGCTTTCTCTACCGCGTACCTGATGTGTTGTATGTAACTCCCGTTTTTGTCTATTACGACCCCCAGTACTCGTAGCTGTTTTTCTGTTGTTATTCTTTGACCCAGTATGTCCATGCTGACCTCCCCTAACCTCCTCCTCCCCGTTAGGAGGGCCACTTTTGCTTTCTCGGGGACAAGTTGTAGTTTTTTGTTCTCCATCCACCTTTGTACCAACTGGATTGTTCTCTGCAGTTTGCTCATTGCTTCTTCAAGTTTTTTATCTTCCACAGCGATGGTGATGTCATCGGCAAACCCTACGATTGTCACGCCCGGTGGTGTCTTTATTTCTAATACTCCATTATACATAATTGTCCACAGTGTGGGACCTAGGACGCTTCCTTGTGAGACTCCAGCCGTTGGACTAAATTTGTGCGTACCTCCCTCTGGCTTCTCTATCTCCACTACTCTCTCCGTAAGGTAACTTCGAGTGATATTCAAGAGGTAGGGTGGCACCTCCATCTCCTCCATAGTTTTCATTATATCCCGGTGTCCCACTGTGTTAAAGGCGTTTTTTACGTCGAGTGACGCCATAAGACACACCTTTCTCGTCCTGTGGGTGCCGCTATTTGCTCTCGCCCTGATGTTGCTTAAGATTTTGATTGCATCCATCGTCGCCTTTCCCTTTACGGAACCCGAACTGATTATTCTATCACAGCCTCCAATCTGTTCTTGATTACCAGCCTCCAATCTGTTCTTGATTATTTTTTCATATATCTTACCCGAGAAGTCAATTAGGCTAATTGGTCTATATGCCTAATCGTTTTTGGGTATTAACACCAGCCTGCAGCTTTTCCAAGCTACCGGGTACTGCCCCCTTTGAAAGTAAAGATTTGCTAGCTTCTCCCAGATTTCCGGTTTCTTAAGTGCAAGTCGCTTTACAATAACTGCTGGCACCATATCTGGTCCCGAGGCTTTGTTGTTCGGGAGTTCCCGCGCCGCAGCAATCACCTCCTGAATGTCTACTTTAGGATGCTCGGTACTTTGGTTCTCGGTTAATTCCAGTATTTCTCGTTTCGGGAAAAGGTTTGTAATAGTTTCTTTCATCTTGGTATCATTCCACCCCAAGGGGTATTCTCGTCTTTTAAATTTTTTGGTTGCTATTTTGTACCCTTTACCCCACACGTCATTATCAATTTCCGTACACAGTCTTTGCCAGCACCTCTTCTTGTTCTTGTCAATCGCCTTCTTTGTAAGTTTTCTCGCTATTTTGAGTTCGGTGATTACGTCTGTCAGCGGTCTTCCGGCCTTCTTCGCCCTGGTCACCGCACGTCTCTTAGCGACCCATGATCTTCGGAGTTCTTCTATTTCGGTACTCCACCAATATACTGACCTTCTTCTCGGCTTCCTAGCTGGCATGGTTGCGCTACAGACCCTTCTGAGCTCGTGCTTTAGCTGCTCGGCTACCTAACCTAACCAAACGTAACTTAACACTAACTCAACTTAATCGTTCACGTTCACGAATGTCTTTTAATTGGTTTCCTTTTGCATTTCAAAATTTGTCCTCTCATCAGTTAGGTTAGATCGAGATGTGTTATTGAGTTAAAACGAATTTTTTTACTTTGAACTTGATCTTGAACTTTGAACTTAACCTAACCTAACCATTTTACTTTGAACTTGATATTGAACTTTGAACTTAACCTAACCTAATCTAACCTAACCTTTTTTTTTTTTTTGGGATGGTGGAATGCCTATCGCACACCTCAGCCTGAATCTATGGCTGAGGTAGTGTGGGGCCTGCACCCACTAAACCACTTCCCCCAGAATTCCACGTAGCGGGTATCACCAGAGGTATTCTTCCGCTCGAGGGGGGCCTTACTGTTCTCTTCTCCTGGCCTCTATTTCTCTTGTACTTACGACCTGTGTGATAAATTTATCAATTTTCTTCCAGCTACTCTCGTTACCGATCATGGTGTCTATGATGCTGTCTTCATCTATTGGGTCCCCTACCTCCAACCTTAGCGCCCATCTGCTTCGATTCCATCTCTCGCACTCCAGCACCGCGTGTCCTGGTGAATCTCTCCCTCCACAGTCCTTACATAAGTCGTCTTGACGCTTTTTGAACCTATGGAGGTATTGTGCGTTTTCGCCATGTCCGGTCAGGAATTGTGTTAGGTAGTAGTGTACTTCTCCATGTTTCCTCTTATGCCATTTTTGTACTTCTGGGATTAGCCGGCTAGTCCAGGATTCCCTATGTCGCCACTCCTCCTGCCATCGAGCTAGGGCCTCTTCTCTGTTGCCCCCTTTTGCTCTCATTTCGGCTTGGATGTGTAGCGGTATTACGCTGGCCACGACGCAGAGATCTTTATTGCTCACCGTTCGATATGCCGAAGCTATTTTCAGGGTCACTATCCTCTGGACCTTCTCCAAGGTTTCTCTTACGATCCTCAGCGTAGCCGCTTTTCCCCACACTTCTGCTCCGTATAGCATGGAATTGGTAACTGCCGTGCTAATAACCCTTCGCTTTCCTGCACTTGGCCCCCCTTTGTTTCTAAACAGGCATTGTAACTTCTTCGCCATGGCCTTAGATTTTTCGGCCCGATTTCTTACGTGGTTGACAAATTTTAAATTGCTGTCTATTGAGACGCCCAGTATCTCTATAGCCCGCTCCACCTGTACGTCTACGCCTCCGATTCGCACGGCTTCCTGGGGTATTTTCCGTTTTCCTATTATAGCCGCCGCCTTCGACTTTTCTCCCACCAACTTTAGCTTGTTCCGGCTCAACCTTGTGTCTATTGCTTCTACGGTGTTGTCCATTTGTCGCTTCGCCTCCTCCAATTTCCTGTCCGTAGCCACTATGGTGAGGTCATCCGCGAAGGCGACTATTTTGACCCCCCTCGGCACCCTCATGCTCACTACTTCGTCATACACCATATTCCATAGCAGGGGTCCTAATACTGAGCCCTGCGGGACGCCTCCGTTAACTTCTATGCGACATATATTTCCCGACGGTAGCCTCACGTTTACTGTCCGATCTGTTAGATATGTATAAATAAGTTTAACCATTATCTTCGGAGCTCCCGTCCTCTCTACGGCCCCCACTATCACTTCCGTGGGCAGACTGTTAAAAGCATTTTGCACGTCCAGGGATGCCATTAACACCACCTCCCTGGTCCGCCACGTTCCCGCCTTGGCCGTCCTGGCAGTCTCTACCAGGTCTTGGAGCGCTTTCTTCGTTCCTCTCCCTCTCACAAAACCATACTGGTTTGGGGAGGCGTTCCATATAGATTTAATTCGCGCCGCCACTATCCTTTCGAATAACTTCCCCAGGTGACTTAGTAATGCTATTGGCCGAAATTTCCCCCTGTCCTTCTTTGGGATTAGAACCACATCTGCTTCTTTCCACACCTTCGGGTACACCCCTTCTCTCATAACTGTATCGAAGACGTCGGTGAACAACTCGGGGGCTCTCTTTGCCACCAGAGCCACGTACTCCGCGGGAAAACCGTCCGGCCCTGGAGCTTTTTTCCTTGGCATCATCTTCGCTGCCTCCATGATCTCGTTGTGGTCAATATTCTTTGGTGGCTGTAGATCCTCCGTCGTCATCCGCCATTCCGGTTTCGTTCTTAGTGGAAAAAGTGTCTGCAGCTGTTCCTGGGCTTCGGAGTCTGATCCAATCGCTTGCTCTCTCGCGCCAAACTTCCCTACTACTATTTTGTACGCCTTGCCCCATACCTCTCTCTCTATCTGATTGCAGAGCTCGCGCCAGCATTCTTCTTTCCTTTTTTGTATTGCGCTCTTCAATTTCCTGCGACTGGCCCTCAGTTCTGCCGCTTCTCTGTCATTTTCGTGTGACGCTCTTCTTCCGGCCCTGGTGCATCTCCTTCTGTTTTTTACACAGCTATTTCTTAGTCCCGCTATATCGGCGTTC